CACATCCCCAGTAGGGTGTGTGCAAAAGGCAGCTGATCGATGAGAGAGAATCTAACTCTCTGTCCCTCTCTGTAAAAAATCAATAAAATCAATCAATCAATCAATCAATCAATAGTTAAATAATCACAGTACTTAGTAAAGTAGTCCTCTAATAGTGGAAACTACATCCGGGCCATCTGAGGTGGCTAAGTGAGTGAGACAGAATAAGAATTGAGAATTGGCTGCCTGCCTGGACCTTCCTGCATAACTCAGGGTGAGCAGAGCGTTCAGGTACTCGTGGCCTGGAGTGGACAGAGGGAGCTATGATGTGAGAGGAAGCATGCGAGAATTTTCTGGAGGCCCAAGGGAAAGAAAGGGTCATAACCTGCCTTAATGTGTTATCTGGTTTCATCAACACTCAAAGAAACTTCTGGAAATTCTGCCGTGAAGGAAGAGTTTATTCTCATTGATTTGTACCTTTGGATTATTATTGGGTAGTATTATAATTTCTGTAAATCAGACATATCTTTACACTTCCTGCATTTTCACAAAATTTTCATTGCTCTCCACGAATTGGGAAACCAGGACTGCTGCCAAGAAAAAAAGAAAAGTGTAGGAAGTATTATAAGACTTAGAATAGACGGTGGCCATTTTTGAGTGAAATTTTGGCCATGCAAGAACCTTCCCTCACATGTATGGTAGCTGTTCTCCTCTGGTGGGAGTATTGCATGGAAAATAGGGAGGGAAAGGCAGGATGAGGCATTTCTTCGAAGGCCTTGAATATCAGGGGAGAATTTGAATGTGCACATCTTGGGGAATTGAGCAAACACAGGCTCTGGGTGAGGAGAATGTGTCCGGAAGTGAGACAGAAGGACAAAAAGGGAAGCTGACTCGAGAGCCCTTACTGACTCAATAATCAAAGTCACCCAACAGTAAAAAAAATCAAATAAGTAATGGATGTACAATTAATGTATAGTAACCACTCTCACACACACCAATAAGTCTCAACCTCACTTTGAATGCCAACAACTACAGAAAGGAACATTGTAAGGAATGAATGAACAAACAAGACAGAAACAAACTCTTAGAAACAGAGGACAAACTGAAAGTTGTCAAAGTGGAGGAGGGATTGGAGAACTGAGTGAAAAAGGTGAAAGGATTTAAGAAGTATAAATTGGTAGTTATGAAACAGTCACTGGGGTGAAAAGTACAGTATTGGGAATATAGTCAATGACATTGTAATAACTATGTTTGGTTAAGGTGGGTATTAGGCTTGTTGAAGGGATCATTTTGTAAATTATATAAATGCCTCCCCACTGTGATGAACACCTGAAATTAACACAAAATAATATCGAATACCAACTGTAATTGAAAAATTGATATACTCTTAAAAGTTAAAAATAAATAAATAAATAAAACAAAAAGATGTAGCTAATAAATGAAAGAATAGTATTCAAGAAAGAAAAAAGAAAAATGAAGACTAATGTTTCTTTAAAAATATATATATAGAGAGAGTATTGATTTATTTATTTATTTATTTTTTATTTTTATTTTTATTTTTTTTTTTTACAGAGAGGAAGGGAGAAAGATAGAGAGTTAGAAACATTGATGAGAACAAAACATCCATCAGCTGCCTCCTGCACACTTCCTACTGGGGATGTGCCCGCAACCAAGGTACATGCCCTTGACCAGAATCAAACCTAGGACCTTTCAGTCCACAGGCCAACACTCTATCCACTGAACTAAACCGTTAAGGGCAGGAAAATGTTTCTTGAGTGGTATTCCACCCAAAATGCATAATCTGAATCTGAGTATGAGTCGCCATTAGACAAATCTCTTCTTTCGTGTCTATTATAGCTTCTTTCTCACCAGAACCACCCCCTGTCCATCAGCCCCTGGTTATCTCCACTCAACAACTCTCCTATGACCAGTGCCTGTAAGAAGAAGCCCCTTGCTTTATCTAAGCTTCATTAATCCAAGTGCAATCTGGGAGGATTGGGAGACACAAACAGCCCCTGCAGTGTGGGGAGACATAATGCCTTGGGCAGAGAGACCAAGGCGATGTCCTACTCTACACCCAACGGTCGCTCCATGGTGTGTCCGGAACAGGGCCTTTAATACAGAACTTGGGGTCTACAAAAGGCAGAACTGGTTTTCTGATAAAGGAGAAGTCATGCTTCTTATTATAGAGACTGGCCTGTGGCGAAATAACTGCCCGGCTTCCTTTGAAAAGGTCAGTGTTGAAACATGGGCTGGGGGCGATGGATGCCTACCCACGACATCCTCTTAGTAAGCGTGGCCTTCCGGGCCCTGTCCTCTCATCCCCTTGCACAGCGTGGGCGGGCCATGAAAATCCCCGAAATTCTGGAACTCACCCCCCTGGGCTGCCACATTCTGTTGGGGGAGAAAGGTTGAGTCCTGGTTCATGACTATCACTTCGTCGTTTTAGAAAAAGCTTCGGATTTCACTTCAAAAATCCTCTCTATGTGTACATGTCAGCCATGATATTTCAGTTCTGGATGGTGGGCAAATGGTGGTAATGCAGGTCCAACCCTCTCTGGTTTGGTCCTGGGCAACCTGCAGTGACACACAGCTGCTGACTGCTATTGTGGCAAGACGTCATCAGCGTCTTCCATCTCTGGACTGCTTCTCTTCTGTCCTATGGTTGGAGTAGTCTCAAACGGAGGGTGGGGATAAAAGGGAGAGATCAACCAAAGGACTTATGTGAACACATATGAGCCTAACCAGTGGTTGAGGACAATAGGGGGTTGAGGGCATGAGTGTGTGTGTGGGGGTGGGGGATTGGAATGGGGGGTTGAGGACAAATATGTGATACCTGAATCAATAAAGAAATTAATTAAAAACAACAACAATGTCTCCACTTTTTAAAGATACATATCTATTTATTGAGTTCAGAGAGGGAGAGGGGGAGAGAGAAACATCAATGATGAGGGTTAATTATTGATTGGCTGCCTCCCACACACCCTGTAATGGCAGCTGAACCCACAACAAGGGCTTGTACCCTGATTAGGAATCAAACTATGACCTCCTGGGTTCATAGGTAAGACACTCAACCACTGAGCCACACTGGTAACATTTAATAGTAACCTGTAATTTCCTGTGGATTCTTTTTTACTGATTGTTGACTGACCCAGCCATTCTGTTAAATACTCAATTACACCTGGTTATCTCCAAACCACTGGCACCTGCCAGTCAAGAGTGGAGGCTTAAACAGGTGAGGTGATCAATGCAGATTGCCTGAGTCTCTGAACCTGCCCTGTAGCTATTTCCCTAGTTCTGGAATTCCCCAATTGTCTGGACATCCTCAACACCTGAGCTGTGGAGCAAGCGATACAACAGAAAAAGGCCTGGGGGTGAGCTGAATGGCACTGGAGATGCCCTTCCCACCTGGTAGAACTGCACCAATTTGTGCCACCACCAAGGACTTGGAAGACACAGGGACCAGGATTCCATCCACATCCCCATGCGACTCCCCGAGGAATTTGGCTTCTGCCGAGGACAAATGGACCTTGAAGAGCTGCAGTGGGTTCTTGTGTACCAGGTTTTAATTTCCGCCTCAACGGAGTCTTCATTCCTTCTTGGGCATGTCACCCCCCACCCCCTCAAACTCTAGACATCTGGTGAACATGAACCCTCTCTGGGTGTTATCTCTAATGGCTACAAGGTCAGTCTGCTTCAACAACTCAACTGCCTTCCTCCAGGAGCAAGGAACACTCCAGACCCCTAATCTAGGCTGCAGGGACCAGGATCACTCCTCCATTGGGCAGGATGCCCCAGAGGTCCATTACGTACCTTGTGGATAGGACCAGCAGAAACAGGAAATAAGCAACCATCCAGGCCCTTTGTAAGACCAACGCATTCCAGAGAGTGGGAAAGGGATCTACTCACGTCTCCAGCCTTGCTGCCTCGGGGTGAAATTCCTAGGGGGTCCAGTTCCCCAAGGAATGCTGAGGTAGCCCATCCATGGTGAGGACTCAGGTCCATCCAACCCTCTTGTGAGTGAGGAGCAAACCCAACTCCTGGTGGACCTTCTTTGGAAGTTGGAGACAACATATTCCTCGTTGGGCATGTCACCTCCACCCACATTACGAGCGTCTTGAGAGGCTGCTGGTTTTGGATGGGGCCCCGAACAAGAGACATTTTTACAACAGGTCCAGGCTGCCTGGGCTGTGTGACCCAGGATATCCAATTGTGTTTGGAGCATCTGGCAGATAAGGTCATTATACAGAGTCTTGGGTGGACTACAGATGAATGAAAACACAGAAAGTTAGCCCTGGACAGTTTGGCTCAGTAGATAGAGCATCAGCCTGTGGACCAAAGGGACCTGTGTTCAATCCTGGACAAGGTCACCTACCTTGGTTGCAGGCTCCTCCCTGGCCCTGGTCCTGGTCGGGGCTCCAATCAGCGTGTTTCTCTCACATCGATGTTTCTCTCTGTCTTTCCCTCTCTCTTCCACTCTCCCTTAAAAAAAAAAAAAATCAATGGAAAAATATCCTTAGGTGAAGATTAACAAAAATCAATCAATCAATCAATCAATCAATCAATCCTAAAGCACAGACATTTACTATTTTGGAGTCAACCTATGTGTTTCTGTGGAGGACTATTCTCCTTTGTGAAACAATATTGGGGTTGTTACTGGGCTCTCCCAGAGGTCGTCTTGGCCAAGTCACCATGAGGTGCCCACCATGGAATGGGGGGTGGTTCCTGAGCACACCCTGAACGGGGCATGCCCAGTAGTGCCCCATCCCCAGACAGAAGATGTGATGAGGAGAGCAGTGGACAGTGATGTCACTGCTGGCCCTGAGGACGAATGGGCACCAGACGTGGGCCACATGTGAAGCTTGAAAGACAAAGAATGCTGTTCTGACTCCTGAATGGAAAGATGATAAATCTGTGTTGCTTTAACCCATTAAGCATATGGTTATTTGTCATAGCAGCAAAAGGAGCTAATACTTTCTCTCTCTCTCTCTCTCCTCTCTCTCTCTCTCTCTCTCTCTCTCTCTCTCTCTCTCTCTCTCTCTCTCTCTCTCTCTCTTTCTCTCTCTCTCATTTTTGGAGGTGGTGATGCAGTTTTGCTCTGTTTTGGCTAATCTGAGATTTGCCTGCTCAGAGCTGGAATCTGTGTGGTTCAAGTGGTGCATTCCCGGGCCAGGCACATTGCAAATCTTCAAGGAATAAGGAGGATGGATGCTTGGCTAACAGAGGCGTTCAGGCCAGGGAGGCAGAAGCTTATGGATGAAATGGGGCCTGGGATGTGGTCAGAAATGGCGGCCGAAGTCCGCTTCCCACACCAGGCCTCAGCTGAGGAAATGAGAGCCCAGCTCCCTGGGAGGGCTGTTCCCTTTTCTGGGGCTGCTGACGTGAGAGCCCCATGACAGGGAGGGACCAGCCTCCCAGGGGCCACAGCCTGTGTGTGTGTCTGTCCTGCACGGCTGCGACCAGAGAGAGGAGACGCCATGACCCCCGTCCTCAGAGCCCTGCTCTGCCTCAGTGAGATGGGAGGGGGATGGGAGCCCTTGTCTGTCAGGACCCCAGGACTCAGGAGGCTCATGGGGAGGAGGGAGCTGCTCAGGTTTCAGGGCAAATCTCTCACAAGGACTCTCTTCCAGGGCTGAGTGTGGGCCTCAGGACCTCAGTGCAGGCAGGTGAGTCTCCCCAGGTGTCCCAGATCCCACTCCTTACTGGGGACAAGTGGCCACCCCATGGGAAGCTGGGAATGGACGACACCAAGTCTGGGCTGACAGATGGGAGATGTATGGGAGGACATGGGGCTGAGAGCTGGGAACTGGGGTGGGGTGGGGATGTCTTGTGATCCTGATACAGGTTTCCTTCCAGGGCCCCTCCCCAAACCCTCCTTCTGGGCTGAGCCAGGCCCTGTGATCCCCTGGGGGAGCCCTGTGACCATCTGGTGTCAGGGGACTCTGCAGGTTCAGGAGTACCATCTGGATAAGGAGGGAAGCCCAGCGCCCTGGGACATACAGAAGCCACTGGAACCCGGGGACAAGGCCAAGTTCTCCATCCCATACATAACACTGGCCTATGCAGGGATATATCGCTGTTACTATCTCAGCCTTGCTGGCTGGTCAGAGCGCAGTGACCCCCTGGAGCTGGTGGTGACAGGTGAGAGGACACTCAGGGGTCCCAGCCTCAGGCCCTGCCCTCAGGAAGGGGGTCTGCTCTCAGGGTGACTCCCTCTCACAGCCCAGCCCTGGGGGACATGAGGGAGATGTGAGCCCATTTGACACGCTGCCTCCTCCTCTCCTAGGATCCTTCAGCAAACCCAGCCTCTCAGCCCTGCCCGGCCCGGTCGTTACCTCAGGAGGGAACGTGACCCTCCAGTGTGGCTCAGGGGAGGGGTTTGGCAGGTTCCTTCTGACTAAGGAAGGAGATCACAGGCTATCCTGGGCCCTGGACTCACAGCCACAGCTCAGTGGGCAGTCCCAGGCCCTGTTCCCAGTGGGGCCTGTGACCTCCAGCCACAGGGGGATGTTCAGATGCTATGGCTGCTACAGGGACAGGCCCCAGGTGTGTTCAAGCCCCAGTGACCCCCTGGAGCTGCTGGTCCCAGGTAAGTCCCATCCTGGTCCCATCCATGGGTTGAGGTGCCAATCAGGTTATTGACATCCTTGCTGTGAGGGGAGGGAACAGGATGAATCAGCCCTGGGTCAGCTCCTGGCTCTGCTGCTCCTGCTGTGGGGCTGAGGGTCCTTTCTGTCCTCTGAGTGTGGGGTTCCTGTCTGCTTACCCCTGGTCCTATCCTGCTCATAGGCTGCTGGGAGATAAGGTGACATAAGGGCCTCACAGAGCTCAGGAAGGCAGAGCCCCCAGCCCGACCTTCCCAAGGGGCATCAGTGGCTGCAGAGCGTGGATGGATTCCGGAGAAACACAGAGTCCAGCCCACACTCTGCCCCTCCTGTCCCTGCTGTGCTGGGATCACATAATGAGGAAGGACCCTCAGCTCCAGATGAGACGTGGGCACGAAGCTGGTGTCCCCTTAGGGGTCAGCGTGAGGACAGCACAGGGAACCCACAGTCCTGAGTTCCAGTCCTAGCTCTGCCCCGTCCAGGCTGGGTGACCTGGGGCACATGGTAAACCTCTCCGAGCCTCAGTGAAGTTGGGTGGGCATTGACTGTGTGAGGTGAGAGGAGATGAGTGACAGACACCAGCATGGGCCTCACACATAGTAGGTGCTCATTCAATGGCTTCACTGGCTCATTCATGACATCACTGATGTCCAAGGTCCCAAATGGAACATGAACATCCTGATCGGGGTCTTGGTGGCCCTGGTCCTGCTGCTCTCCCTCCTCCTCTTCTTCCTCCTCCGACACCGATGTCAGAGCAAAGGCAGGACGTCAGGTGAGTAGGGAACGGGGTGACCTGGGGCACAGGAAGGAGAGGGGCTCAGAGCATTTGCCACAGGAAACCAAGTAGGTGCAGAAGGTCAGCTGGGAAAAGAATTTCTCCAGAAGCTCAAACCAGAAAATGTAGAAAGAAAATAATACTCAATGTCAGCACAGGTGTTTGTATCTAAGCTAATCTTTCATTATTGTCAATGCTATGCAATAGGAAACTTACATACAGGGTATGTTACGGTTTCCTCATTTTCAGTGGAATCTCAGAGGGAGGCGCCCTATCTCCCAGGGCTGAGACTGTCCCTCTTGACCAGCCCAGAGAGGGACTCATGTCCAACTTCTTGCAGGGACCACACATCCTAAGGGCAAGGCCGGAGGCCAGCAGATCAGGTAACTCCTGCCCCAAAGACCTGAGACCTCCACCACCATGGCCCAGCTCCGTCTCTAACTCTCCTGTCTCCTCCCCCAGCTCCGGCCCAGCTGTGGACACCCAGGAAGAACAGCTCTGTGAGAGGAAGACAGCTCCCTTGGGGAGGGGGCACAGGGATTTCAGGGCATGATCGGGGAGAAGATGGACTTGGAGGGTGTGGGGTCAGGGGTGAGAAAGACTGAGACCACACCTGTGTGACCCGGTGCCTCACCTCACCCTGGGTTGGTGGTCCATCTGGGAGCAGGCGTGGCCTGCAGCCCTGAGATATCAGAAACCTGCCAGGAGACACCCCCCTGTTCTGCCCCAGCAGATGATTCTGTGAAGGACCCGCAGCCTGGGGAGAGCGTGGAGCTGGATCCTCGGGTGAGACCCCTGCTCCTGTCCAGGCCACCAAGGACCTTCTGTTGCCCAGTTTAATCCAATGGACCCTTCCCTGTCCCACCTCACCTGCTTCTCAGCAGCGTCCACACTGACCTTCCCTCTGGACCTCAGGTGGTCCTGCTGTGACTCACTCATCCTGGGTTCCTTGTGACCCCATGGCTCCTTCTACGGGGTCCCCTTTGCTGGCCCCTCGTCCTCTGTCTGACCTTGTGCAGCCCCAGGTCTCAGGAGGAGGCAGGAGTGAGTGACTGACTCACCACAGGTCCCCAGGATCCCTTCATTCATTCACCCAGCAGAGGTGACAGCTCACAGTTTACCGGCTCCATTTAGGGGCCACGGTGCCACCCTGAGCCACATTGTGTCCACATTCCTCCAGTTCACCTGTGGACAAGGGAGACAATATGCAAACAAGCAGACAGTGTCCCAGAGAGCAAAGTGCTGTGAAGGAGCATAAAGCAAGAGGAGGGGATAGAGTGCATGGTGGGGACAGGGAAAGAGTGGATGCAGAGGTTCTGGGGCAGGGCCTGCTTCTTCAGGAGGAGGGCCATGAGGCTGGAGCTGAGAGAGAGAGAGAGAGAGAGAGAGAGAGAGAGAGAGAGAGAGAGAGAGAGAGAGAGAGAGAGAGCGCATTAGGATGAGAGTCAGAATGAGAGTCAGAACCACAGAAGCATCCAGAAGCCCCCAGGCTCAGGAAGGCCCTGCAGGTTCCATCAGGAGAGGGACCTGGTCTATTTAAAGTGTAGGCCATCTCTCTGGCAACATGAGGATGATTGACAGGAGGATTTCTATTGTGGAATCGAGGAGACGTTATTCTGTCTCACTGTCTCCTTCAGATCAGGCAGGATGAAGGCCCTCAGGGAGCAGTGTATGCCGAGGAAACTGCTCAAGACCAAGACCCGGACCAGAAATGGCCACCTCTCCTTCTTCCCATTCAGCAGGGGAGGTTTTGAACCAGAAGGGCAGATAAGCAGAAGAGGACACTCAGGTGGGTTCCGTCCTCCCCAGGCCCTTAGGATCCCCACAACCCCAACCATGTTTCATCCCTCTCTTTCTCTCCCCCTGCTCCAGGCTGCTGCCTCTGACATCCCCCTGCATGCAACCTACATCCCGCTAACCCGCTTGGCCCTCAGATGGAGGACACCACCCTCTTCCTCCCATCAGTAAGGCCCCCAGATGAACCCAGTGTGTATGCTGCTGTGCTCATCCGCTAGCCCAGACTCCACAGTGCAGGAAGAGGGCCTGCAGGGGCTCCGAGGGCACTGGGTCGGCCCCCATGGACACTCAGTTAGTGCTCCAGCCAGTCTGGAGATCCAACGCGGACTCCCAGCTGCTCCTGGGACCCCCTGAGAGTCGCCTGATTCTGCAAGCACTAAAATCCCTCTGAATTATGGAATCAAAGCAACAGATTTCTCAAAAACCATGTGCGAACTGATTATCGACAGGAAGTGAGCGAACACTTTAAATTAATGATCATGTAAATATTATGCATCAAGCCTATGAAATAAAAAAAATTAAGAGGCATGAGAAAAGAAAAGCCTAAAAGGTCAAGACCTAATTTATTATATCAAGAATTTAGAAAACGAATAGCCAATTGTTCTAAATGAAGGTAGAACGAGGGATGTGATAATGAGTAGCTACTAGTGAGGACAGACAAAAATAGAGAGAAAGCAGCACAGTCAAAAAATGTCATTCTTGCCGAAACCGGTTTGGCTCAGTGGATATAACGTCAGTTTGTGGACGGAAAGGTCCCAGGTTTGATTTCGGTCAAGGGCCTGTACATTGGTTGTGGGCACATCCCAAGCAGGGGATGTGCAGGAGGCAGCTGATAGATGTTTCTCTCTCATTGATGTTTCTAGCTCTCAATCCCTCTTCCTTCATCTCTGGAAAATCAATAAAATATATTTTTAAAAATGCCATTCTTGAAAACTGTAATTATAGTTTTGATAAGTCTTAGCCACAGTAGTCAAGGAAAATAGACACAGATCCTATAGACTTTGTTTATTTATTTATTTATTTATTTGTTTATTTATTTATTTATTGCTTGATTGATTGATTAAGGTATCACATATTTGTCCTCAACCCCCCATTCCAATCCCTCACCCCTCCCCACTCATGCCCTCACCCCCCTATTGTCCTCGACCACTGGTTAGGCTCATATGTGTGCACACAAGTCCTTTGGTGGATCTCTCCCTTTTATCCCCACCCTCCCTCTGAGGTTCAACTGTCTGACTTATGGCTCCTTATCTCTGGGTCTGTTCTTGTTCATCAGTCTATGTTGTTCACCATTTCCCCTAGATGAGTGAGATCATGTCTTACTGGAAATATACTTATAAGAATAAAAAAATGAGACAAGCAATAATCGTTATGCTGAAAGGCCTATGAATCTGTCTGCAGTGAGTTTCTCTCTGGGCCTTTAATTCCCACAATGAGGAACAACATCACAGATCCTACAGTCTTAAAACAGACACCACAACATGATAAATGATTGGATGCCAGGCCCTGCCCAGGTAGCTCAGTTGCTTAGAGCATCACCCCAATACACCAAGCCTGCAGGTTGGATCTGTGGTCAGGGCAAGTACAAGAACCAGCCAATGAATGCATAAATAAGGGGAACAACGAATCAATATTTGTTTCTCTCTCTCTCCCTTCCTCTCTCTCTCTAAGTAAGACAATGAAATTTGATGCCAATGTATTAGCCACCTGCGTGACTCAGTGTTTGAGCATGGGCCTATGAACCAGGAGGTCATGGTTTGATCCTAGTCAGGGCCCATGCCTGGTCTGTGGGCTCTATCGCCAGTTTGGAGCATGCAGGAGGCAACCGATCATAGCTTCTCTCTCATCATTGATGTTTCTATCTCTCTCTCCCTCTCCCTTTCTCTCTGAAATCAATAAAAAATAAGCCTAACCAATGGACACAGACAACAGGGGGTGTGTGTGCAAAAGCATGAGTGTGTGTG